GTAGACACGTGTTTATTGTATATATGTGTGTGTGTGTGTGTGTATTGCGTGTGTGTGTGTGTGTGTGTGTGTGTGTGTTTCTGTGTGTGCACGTGTCCCAGCTAAAGCTTGAAAGAGCTGTGCCTCATTCGCCCTAATCTCAATAGGCCTTCTATGCCATTTCTGGACTTCCAAAAGAAAAAGATAATTCCAGGCCGAAGACTCACTGAAACAACGAAAATTATTCAATTTAAGTAACAAGAAAGCGAAATGGCTGAATGAACACACATTCCGCCGACCTAGTGACACATCACCTTCGTCGAAAATAACTTAAGTGACATATCACCTCTGTCGAAAATAACTTTGTGAGGCGTGATAAATTGAAAAATTTTTTCCTTTCTTTTTTTTGTTAAATTCACATAATATATTCACAGAAATTCACATAGTAAAAGGGGATAACTGTAGTAGTAGAAGACAAGAACTGTAAAATGAGCTTAACGGTAAGGAGAGAACAAAAATGAAATTGTCCGCGAATATGAATATATTCCGAAATGTTGTAATATCACGCAATATAAGGCACCAAGCTATTGTGCGCATATTAGTTTAGCGTTACCCTTCAGGTGCTCATTATTAATTTTCAAATGAATGAAGCAGAAAAACTTAATAAATTAGTGTTCGAGCAGATTAATTTACTGATGACTGGCACTCCTATCCTCTATCAGGGAGGTCATGTGTGTGAAGCTACGCACGTAAGGGTAGAACGTACTCATCTGGATCACCGGACAATCCCGATACTATTGATAATGTTCAAATCAAACTGGTCTGTATATTGCAGTACGACAATTCTTCAGAGGAATAGACAAATAGGAAATCAAATCAAACATAACAAAAAGGCAAATAATCTGGTCAAATCGTCCATAAAGCCGATACATTTCCAACAGGATTCGAAAAAAAAAACAATCTTACTATTCCATTTCTTGTTTCCCTGAAGCCAGAAAATGAGTTAAGCAAGGAGAGAGCGTAAACAACAATTATAAAGCCAGCCACAACACACTATGATAAAAGTTCCAAAAACTGAAGTAGCTAAAATTTCTGTTTAAAATGACATGAAAAGAAGCACTTCACTGCAAGACGAAAAACATGCGCCTATTATCAAAAAGACACTGTAATAGCAAAAAATTTAATATATTACATGCAGTCATTCATTTTAAAATTTGTTTCGGTATTGAATTATCCGGCAAATACAGAAAGACATCGTTCAACACAAACACGTAGAGATCGCCTGTTCCGAATCATCATTGTCACCTTGTTCTGGATCAGAAACAACACACAAAACAACATTAAAGGAAATCAGATCATGTAAATGGCGATCAAAATACATACTTCCCTTCTACTTATTGCATTGAAACGAATAGTCTTCGTGTTAGAAAGCAGTGTAATAAGAGATGTAATATTTCGGCTACATTGCTAGTAAACGGAAATTTGAACTTTCTACCAAGATATCATTTCATTAACATTTGCACTCTGCTGACCACTTTTGAACCAACTTGATAAAACACATATCCCATCACGCCAATAATCATCGCTTTCAGAGTCAAACGTATGAATTTTTCAGTGTGTGTTGGTTGAGGTATGCTGAAAAATGAATTCACATTTATGGTCAGCTTTTCTCTCATTAAACACGATCTCTTTCTTTAAATCGCGGTTTCTCTGCTGAATGCCTTTCCAAAGCCTTGCCGATCATTGAGAACAAAATTTTTTTCAGCGCCAGAAATCATCATACCAGAAAGAGAAAGTTGGTCTGCTACCTCCTCAAACTACATCATTTTTCGTTCGACGATAACTAGCTGCACAAATGCGGAAAAGGAAAAAAATCTTTTCTTTTTTCACGGATACAACTTCTCCATATTGTCTACGATGGGCGAAATGATAAAACTAACATTAGCAGATCGCCCACGTCAATTCTTTTATTCCAGTTAGAAATGATGCCAGGAACATGTCCCATACCAACAACAGCTACAACAGATATTGGCTGCCAGGCAGCTGAAAAAAGATATTACAGATAAAAAATAAATCAAAATTTCGTACAGCGCAAATTCACAGTTATTTTTGATTGAATACTTGAGCATTCTTTATAAAAAAACAAACAATTTTTGTTCATTGAACACACGCTTTATTACATATACATCAACTAGCACGATTTTTTAATGAAATTAACAGAACAAGCAGTGGTGAAATATATTTGTGCACAACGTACACAACATGCGAAATTTCGATGTTCGGTAAAAATTATCTACAGAAATCACAAAGGATACTTACCATCCGTTTTACTCCATGCTACTCTCTTATCAAATGTAGACTTTTTGAGTAGGGTATGCAACGCATTGGTCATATACAAATCACGTTCTTCCACAAAGATTTTCGAAAGCAGTGGAAATTCACCAGCCATCTGCTTAAGCAGTTCTTCTAGCATATCTGATTTCTTGCATCTTTCTACTTCTTCTTGACTAGAAAAAACAAACAAAAATGAATCCTAAGTGAAGGTATTAACAATGTTAAAAAAGAAGGAAAGATAAAAAGTTCGTGATAAACTTACGTGATAGTGGTTTTATGTGAAAGAACAATATGATAGAAAAGTCGAAGCTTTTGAAAAAAGCTTAAAGAGCTCAATGCTCTTTGTACAGTCACATGTATTGGACGATCACCCAAAATTAGTTTGCACATCCTTATGTTCATAGCACCTCTGAAAATCTAGAAGAACTGGGAACATACATCAATAAATAACCAAGCTACTAATTAGAATGATTCAAGAAAAAATATGACACATCGAAATGATACTACTGGCAACACACTGCATGAATATTCAAGATTATGAATACAAGGAGAACATCGGAACAAATTTATTTAGGTTAACTTCAAATAAAACAGTACTTGTGAGCTGCGCGAAACTCTCCGCCAGGCGCCATACCGAGCGTCTTTGTCATATGCGCAGACATCGACAACAACAATACGTGAAGTATTCCTTGAATTGCGCCACTCTAAACAAATAATGTTGTCAGTTCAACATCAACATCGAAAGAAACAACTCCCAACATCTGTTCGAATATACAAAGAAACATACTTGCTTGATAGTATTGATAATTTTGTCGAAATTCAAATTTTTTGCTTCCTCAAGTAGAGTATCTTCATCCATTGATAGTATTGATATTCGCGATGGACAAAGTTCAACCATAACCATATCTGGTTGAGTATTTGCAATCGTTTTCAAAACGTCTTGCTGACTATCGGGTGAAAAATGCGCCGTACCAATCAGATATACCTAAATTGAAGGACCACACTGTTATATCTATATGCGTTGGGTCAGTTCATGGATTCGTTGTTATGCAGTACACATTGTTCAGCCTGGTGCATTAAGTTGAATACTTGAGAGAGAAAGGAATCTTGGAGCTCATTTAGAGATGGCAAGTATTGAAGTAAATTTGCAAACGAACACGCAAATATTTCTATACAAAAAATTATTAAGCACTACATATGTAAGGATTTCCGAGTTCTTACTTTTGCATCAGCCAGTGATTTACGAAATTCATTTTCATCATCTCCAACTGGTATAGCTGTGGGCGGAAAAGGATAGTTCAGAACTGTCACTGAAGAAAAGTACAATGCATTGCCGGATTGTTAGCATCTGGACGAAGCGCCTCACTAGTGCAAGGGAAAAGTCCACCACTTTCCATCAGAATATTAAAAAAAAAATCTTAGTAATCCACAATTATTTTCAGATAAATAAAAACGATTACCAATATTCTAGAATGTACAAAAAAAGGTGCTAAAATATGAAACTTGGCTCAGCCCTTCAAACTATATATATATATTATACATGTACACATACATATATATATACTATCAAGAAGTAACTGGAGCTACCGATGACGTGTTGTACGAGAAAATTATTACTGATCCAAAGAAAATACCTGTTTCCTTCGGGAGCTCTGGATTAGGATGACGATTTCGATCGAACATAAAACCTCCGAAACATCGCCTCTGAACAAAAGACAGATTTTCACAAAGAAATTGATTCCAGAAAGCACTCTTGAGAGAATAAATTAACTCGAAATCGAGATGGTTAAAATCGAAATGACAAATGGTTAAATGCATTACAGGGCACTGCATATCATTGAAACATTCCTCACCTGTTCCACATGAACATGCTGATCCTTTTTGCACCACCAGTTTCCGTTATTTTCATTTTGTTACCCAAACACACATTATCTCCAAAATCTGATACACAGTTATTAACATTGGATGCGGAATCTGTTAAAGATACCACAGACTGCTGTGCTGCGATAATGCTGCCTTGAATTGAGAACAAATTAGGATAGACGACAACTCTTCCACAACTTACAAATATTGTCAATATTGTCCATTTTGCGCGCCACTTTTCCCACTGCTAATATAACTTTACATCAGCATATGAACTTCCCCTAAAAGAACTCAAACCACCCATCAAACTCTAACCTACCTTCTAGGTAGGTTGTCCTCCTCCTTACTTCCCCACTCTTTTTTACCAACACAGAGCAATACGGAAACATCAAGAGATATCTTCTACTAAGCTTCAATAATATCGGATATCTGCTGTCGCTACAGCTCGAATAGATGTCTGTGAAATAACAACGTTGAAATACTGTTCTAAATACACTAACACTGTATACTGTTCTAAATACAGTAACGCTGTCTCAATTACAAAAGTAATGGATGACTACAAACTGATTCATCCATAGCAGCGTCAATGTGACCACTGCCGTTTCCATATGCCTGAAGTTTATGATTTCAAGTAAACTTCACACAATACCTGCCAAATCGTCATGTGATGAAACAGCTTTCGTGCCGGACATATCGGGATCCGTAAGTTCTGAGCTACTCATTTCCTTCACAGTAAAAGTTGTTTCTTCATCTGACAACATAACATGATCAAGGTTTAGCTCTGGTACCAGACCGTGCTCTCCTTCATTTTGCATCGGTGTAATGTTATCAGCCTCGGTACCGTTCGCAGACATCTTCACTCTAGTAATTATGCATAATTTAGTGAGGCCATGCACAAACCAAGCAGCATCCTAATCCGCGAACGATGAAAGTATAATCCGAAAAACATATATATCCTTCCCTACTTCCATTAAAGAACCATTATGCAGATAAGAACATTGCTAAAATCTCACATTTTCACTTTATTCATCAGTAAACCCTTACAAAATCCTACAACATGAAGTGCCTTTCTTCCTTTTAACTCTCCAATAATTGAGCAAGTTAGAAATCCCTCGTATACTTTAGGAAAGAAAATGTACGCTAAATAAATATGAAAAAATAGCTTTTGACCCGGATTACAAACACAAATTCAAGCTGTTTGTTACCAGTTTAATATATACTAATACATCATAACAAAAATAAAAGTAACCAAGGATAAATCGCCATTGTCATTATCCACAATGCCAGTGAATAACAATAGAGGGTTTGAAATTGAATTAAAGTTATGAAAAAGTACAAGAAATTATAAACCGAGAATGTATAAACCGTTTACGACATTTCATCAGAACAAGAGAAGCCTTGCAAAGGTAATAAATGGAACAAACTAACCAGACTAGCTCAACTAAAATTAAAGAGGTGGGCACTTGGCATACCCAAGAAGGAATGAAACACTGGGATCAGCGTATAGAAAGCAAGTATTTGCACAACTCATATGCAGACCAGCTGAGCGCTGTAGACGGAACTTGGAATATTATTCGAGCCTGAAGTCCACGGAAAAATCCACCTGTACCTCGAAGATAATAGATCGTCCGAATTCCGTCAACCAACCCTCTGCAAAGTAGTTTAAATGATCAAAAATACAAATGGCAGCAAACATGGATAAAAGTTTCAACTGTCCAAAGAAGCAAGCAATATGGTGAAGTGCTGTGAAAGAAAGAAAAAATTCATTTTCAACTTTTAATATATTATAGTGAGAATTTTTAAGAAATACTTGTAGTATGTTGCATGCCCGTTCTGCGTAAGTAACCGATACTTGGTATTAAATTGTGGAGTTTGTTGTGTATTCAAAACAGTCTTCACGCAATCAAAAGGAGTTGTGATAGCTGCAGCTATTCCACCAGCGATTCCTGCAAGTCGTTTTGGAATTTAGAGTTCTAAAGAAAGAGGGAGATGAAGGAATCCAGCAAATTATCCTCAAGAAGGACATACACTTACCGTAAAGCGTTATTCAAAAGCCGCTAAACAACATATGACAACATTGTGCACACCATTAAATCGCAGTTGTACATGATGTTATAAGAGGAAAAGATCATTATGCGAAAACCTCTTTCATTTTCATAAAGATGGAAATGTTTGCTGAAGACCACAGAGATATCAAAAAAACAAACTCAGATGTTATTAAAATCATAGAACATAAAAACGTACCTCCGGAAACAAAGTGGGAAGAAGGATTATAATTATGATGTGGATTTAGTAAACTCTGCATATATTCGTATATCATAAAGTGTGTACACTGATAGGGCACATTCAGTGTTAGCTGCGTAATATAGGAACGGTAAAAAGCCCTGAGACCTTCTCGAATATAAATACATCGTATACATTCCAGGCTATTACCATAAGGACTAAAAATCATTTGCATGCGTTGTTTCACAACCTGAAAACAATAACTATTAACAGAAACACCATCCAATGATGATATAACCACAAACCGGATATTATGGTCCTAGACGAGGATAAACCTGCCAGCCCTTAAACCATTCCGTATAATCGATCCACTGGTTAAATAGTTTCCTTATTCTAGAAGTTGACAAGAACGGAATACCTCAGCGGGATTCATAACAGCATCATGGACAACAGTAGCAAGCGCTCCGGATATCGCATATGAAATAGAACCAGGTACCCGTGGATTATTTAACAAATAAGCTTTGGAACTGCAAAGTTTCATGTATTATTATTGATATTTATACTTGGATTTTCAAAATCTCAATAAAAACCTTGAAATATTTTGTTATAATTTCGGACTGAAGGAAGGAGATATATTGTCACAGGAAATTTTAACAAAAAAATTCCCTAACAATCTAAAACAGAATAGGTAACAAAGAAACAAAAAGTACAAGTTACACACCACTTATCCGAGAGTGAGTGAAGGATACAGGATAGAACAAGTTTCAGAGTTATACATCGCTTATTCCCAGAGAAGGTAGAGGACATAAAGTAAAGGACAAAGCAGAGGACGTATAGACCAGGTCTCAGTTAGTAGTGAAGGGATCAACTTAATGACTCAGTTCGGGAACTATTACTAATAACACGAACTTTTCATAAACCGTATAATACAGAGCATGAGCCGGGATTGTACCAAATACAACAGCATTGACTCCTTTCAGTGATCGCAGCAAACCTTCGCGTTTCACCATTGAGAAAAGGCTATGCATTGCTGTTGGGCATCTTGTTTCTGGACATGGACACAAACTTTGCAACCGAGTTTTTACCGAGTCGAACGGAAACATAAGACAATGTTCGGCAAGACCGGCAACCGATCCAGCCAAAAGATGCACTGGCCATCTGCATGGTGCCAATGGACTGCATAGACTATCCGCCATCCCTCTCTAATCCCTCATCTGGAAATAAACAAAGGAAAGACTAAAGAGAGAAATATATCAAGTCACTGCATCAAAGTGATGCATCTTCAGAAAAATACAAAGCTGACTACTTGCAAAACTTGCCTCAGTAAAATCCAGAATTACTAAAGTTTTTTAAACATTCACAATAGTACGCCCGATTTATCGGCTGTTAATATACCAGTATCTAAAAAATATATTACTGTAGGTTTCCGAATCAAAACTGGTTCTGCATTTTCCATCGATATATTCATCTTCTGCATCTCGCGGTTGCTGGAACTCGACGAGACATGATTCGTGTAAAAATCTATTATTCCTATTCTTTGACTCACTTGAAAAAAAAAAAAGAACACTCCCAAAGACCTATCTTCTTCTTCTGGAAAGTGATATAATTAATCCAATTTATTAGTAAAGTGACAATCATGAATAATTTGCAATAAGGATACGAAAAAATGCTTAATTCTGTAAAAGCCTCTTTCTCAAATTCTTTCTGAAAGATGTCCCTCCACAATGCTCATCCATTTTTGTCTTTCTTTCTTCCTATATCCTACTTTTTCACTTTGAACTGGAAAAGTTACCACTCTTGATGATAGTTACATCCTATCCTATCCCATACCTTTCCTTGAAATCTATAATCCTATATTTCACCATTCTGAAAATACATGATCAGGAAAATTAACACCGGAAACACGAACTAACTACCTTTCGACAACCTGCTATACATCATAAAAGTGCCACAAATATCAAATAATATTATATGGAGAAATGAGTTAACTCGCAATTCGAGCCTAAACCTGCTATGACATACAATTTTGGGTGTATAGAGAATACTATACTTGGCTGTATTCTCCATTGTATCTGTTAGATCTTATTACTTTGTACTGTCTCGTTTACTTTTTATTTTTATTTTTTCTTATAACGCTTACTTTTTACTCATTATGACTAACTAAACACTACAACTACAATACAATAACCATCCCATAATTTTGTATTCTTGAGCTACATGCTCTTTCGCAAATTTCAACAAGTCATGACATCTCGTAGATTTCAATACTATTTCATAACTTAAATGTCTGATTTAAATATTTTCAAAATTTATCGATCTTTATCATCCTTAAACAACATTTATTTCGAAATGACCATCTCTCATTGATTTGAGAGTTTTTTTCTGGGGGATTCCGCACCATTCATTTATAGGGGGACCAATATATAATTGAGATTTCAGTGTTTTTAATCATTGATTCCAGTATTTAGTTATATTTAAATTTGAATTTTTGATAATGGATGCGATTAGAGCGATGGTAAAACATTATGTTACTAATATCGCCGTTATCCTTTTATTCCATATTTGTTCATTTTTTTACTATCTCTTTTCTAATTAGGATAATAACAAAGCTATTTGTTTTATAAACCGAACTGTATCCCATTTTCTTAATTAGGAAAGTTAAGATCTGTTAAATTTTTTTCCTTAGACAAATGGATTTTTTCGGAATAATGATCTGATATAGTTGTTTCCAGTGTAATAGAAAAATTGTTCGGAACATACGATACAAATGTTTGGTTAGAGGAAAAATAAGATTTGTCTTACTACATGAGTAACTATGAATAAAAATTCCATCATAAAAGTAATCGTTGTCTTTAATTTTCCAATTACTGGATTAATGAGATATAACGGTATTCAGAATTTTATGCAGCATTTTCAAATACGGAATAAGAATTATTAATTCATGCAAAGTTTTAATAAATATAAATCTTCAATTATTACAAGAATTTTGCAGATGGAATATTTTAAACCAATAATATTAGCAGTGCTTGTATATATAACCAACACAGTAGCACAGATACCGGAAATAGTGGAATTAGTAGTTGGTCAACCATTTCATTATGCATTTCAAATTGATTCGAATGTATTGGAAGTCCAGGATGCATCCGGCGAAGAACTACCAACGTGGCTAATTTGGAAAAGAAGTGAACGGTAACTTTTTTTTTTCTTAAACACAAAGGTTTTACGTCGGATTTAACAAATAACGAAAGAAGAATATGGATAACATTTTGTTCTTGCAGGATTTTGGAAGGTGTGCCACAACCTACTGATACTGGAAAAACATTTTTACGGATAGCGAACGGTCAAACTGATGATGTAATGGAAATTTCCGTCAAGGAAGAAATTATAAATCCATGCGGTGCTGAAAGAAATACATTGTGGATGGAAATTGCATTTGATACTTCACTTAGCAATCTGAGTATAGCTGACCAATTGCATCTTGTTAACATTGTTTCGAAATTTTTTAGTGTTAACAGGTAATTAAAGACTTGCTTGATGTAAGAAGTACAATAAGTAAAATTAAGCGCATGTAAGAAAACTGGTTTTCTAACTTTTAACAAAAATTCACAATTTTTGAAAATTTCTTGTGCAATTTCGAGGGTTTAAAAAGACAGTTAACACGGAATATCCTCCAAAAATGGCATGACCCTATAGCTATCAGACCGCCTGTCATTAATCATCCAGTTTCTGTTACATTACGAAATTTGGTGCCTATAAATTTTAGATTATCGGCATGATTTAGTATCATTTATCATGGATATGGAAAGTATGTTACTTCAAATTGTTATTAACTACGCTGATAATTTTTCAGTTCTTCGCTTCGTCTTTATTCAAACAAGTACAAGGAAGAATTAAGACGTTCTGAAGTTGTCGAATCCGGTATGCAACATAAGCCGAACAATGATTCAATGACAATCATGTGGAAAGTTTCATGCGAAGAGATTGATGAGGATGCTATTGACGTGCTAGAAAAGATGCTCACATTCGATGAAAGTGATGCTTTGGCGATATCACAGCAAAAACTGTTTGGTTGGGAGGTTTGTGCGTGGATTAATTTGATTTGTTCGAACTTTTAGGAAGTAGTGCAGCATTTTTTAACAGTGATGCGTTTAACTGTCGAAGTGTCTTTCTGAATCTAAGAATTCTGCCAGAAATTCTGCAGTGCATCTTTCAGGGCTTTGGGATTTTTTAATTCTACCTGAAAGGATAGATAGTTCTGTGTTAGGTGGATCCATTAGAATATGTAACTTCTATGAATTAAGTTAACATCATTGATTTGTTAACTGAAATAATCCACTGATCGTGATAAGATTATCATTCTCTGATCAGCTTATTAGTTAGTTTTAATAAATTATGTCAATCGGAAGTTTTATAGCTAAGAAAAGGGACGTTATTACCACGGAAACAACGTAATCTTATTGCTGGGACTGGTATCATGTCTCAGTTTTCGGGCTTTGCTACAAATGAACCATATGTTAACTTTGAAGTGACAACTTCTAAAACCACAACACGTTCCTCGCGCTCTACAAAAAAAGATGACAGACCTCCGGTGCGATTGCATTCGCTTCAGGCTTTTACTTGCAGAAGGTCCTTTTCGATGCCTTTTTATGACTTTTTTTATTACGATTAAGTTGGTAGAATCCCACTGAAGTAGTAATCAGCTGGATTTATCATCAGTTAGTATTCTGCCAGTTTTTTACCACAATATACATTATATATATATGTAATTTAGAGGTATGATGTGCGAGTATACCATTCCAAGGGAAACATTCATTGATGCGGAAGATGGAGATACGCGTACACTTACTTTGTCTGTTTACCCAATTGTTGCCGATAACAATTGGCTTACATTAGATAGGAAAAATAAGCAGATTTTACATGGTATCGCACTGAATACAGGAGATTTTGAATTTCGGTTAGAAGCGCGGGACTCTGCAAATCAGGCAAGTTAAACGTTTGTTCTTTAATTATATTGAGGTAGCGAATAGGTATTTGGCCATCAAGCAAAGGTGGCGTAATGGTAGGAAAGACATGGGATAGATGCTTTTGGTATATTTTAACCTTTCGATAACATGAAAAAAGTATGTTAGAATCATGTTATCTTGGTGATAAAAGTGTAAGGAATTTCTGGTATGAATTTTTGCGGTAGTACTCACACGCCATTATTTCTCGGTTTTTACAGATGACATCTGCACCTTTTCGAGTAACAGTTGTTCCCGAACCACCAACTAATCACTTATTCATTCTTGATGTTGACCACAGTTACGAACGATTAGCGAAAGACCCGGATATTTTATGCGCATTTGCGGAAAAGTTGGCTAATTCGTTAGGGGATCGGTTTCCAAAAAATTTGGTTATTAAGTTAGTTTTTGGGGCACGTTTTGAACAGTCAGTATTGTATACGTTTTGTATTGTTTATGCGGTAATGACATTATAAATGAGGAAATATACTTGTTCACTTTGAAGCACTTGTTTTTAAAATGTCATGCTTTTAATGTTTTGCAGGAAAATTGAAGCTGTTGATAGTATAAGACGTCAGTCCCGTGTCATCTTTTCAAATGCTTCTTTGTCATATAAATATTGCCAGAAAAAAGCAATTGATGCAATTAAACATATTATGCTAACTAGAAGACGGGATCGTATCCGAGCCGAATTTGTTCGAGCAATGGATAGTAGATTTCATGTACGAAATGTAAAATTAGAGTTCCGAGGTAATTTAACATTTCTTTCCCTTATCTTTCACCAGTGGAAGGACGCTACACCATTTGCGCCGACAACTTGGTGGTTCATTCCTTTACATTTTTATTATATCACTGGATATTGTTTCTTTCGAAGTTTATGTTCGAATTTTAGCTGTTTTTGTTGATTCAGGATCTTGTGTCGACGAATCGCCAACATCTCGTTTTCCAGCGAATGTTTCCTTATCCACAACCACTGTTTCTCCTGATCATGATACTTCATCTATTAAACTGTGGTTACCAGTTGCCCTCATTGCATTCTTCAAATTTTTCTTAGCTACACTGGCATTAGTTTGCTGCGTGATAAAACGAAAGAAAGCAAAAGCAGGTTTGGATTAGCGATAATGCTATCAACATTTTCAAATTTTTATTTCTGGGACATCTTTTCAGGAAACTGCAGCATCAGAATAGCATAATTTCCATCGATAAAGATCTTTTTTTATTTCAGTCCAGTCAGAATACATTTCGAAAGGTTTGCCAGTAGTATTTCCGGAAGAAATCCCACAAGAAGATGAAACAGCAACGGTATCGACACCAATGTTGGTCAAGGAAGAACGACCACCGTTAATCATTTCTCAGCATGAGAATCCTCTTTACAAACCGCCTCCTCCGCTTTCTACTGCATCAAGCCCGCGTCCTCGAAATGCGTTCACGAATCAGAGGCAACCTCCACCTTATGTTCCGCCATAATGTTTGTGTTTATCATATTGAATCAGTTTATTGACTGGTTTTAATCGATATCTTACTTGTTTTGCCAATAAGTGTTTTACTGACCAAAAGGCTTGTACTTGGATGGTCATTCCTTTCAGTCGTTTACAGAGAACTTTTTAGGCCGTTTATTATATCTTCGAATTATCATTATGTGGAAGTTCAAGTTCGAAGAGTGAGTGTCATTGCTCTATTCTTTCTTTGTTTTTATGTTATTCCTAACGTTACTTACAGGTTAAAATCAAATCCTTTCAACAGCCTCTTAAGAGATACAAATTCTTGCAACAGATCCATATTTTGCCCCGGTTATTCGCCATAACTTCTGCAGTTCAATTCAAGTTACTGCTAGTACAACTATATTCTTTTGCTACGTAGTCCGATTTTTTTGCGAAATAACCTGAATTATATCGTTGTAGTGGAATCAGTAATATTGAGAAGAGCTTATTAATTTCTCTATTTCATTGTAAACTTTCATTTTTCACCTACTGCAGTGACGAATCCACTCATTGTGACAGTTGTATTTTTGTTGGTGATGTTAATCACAGACAGATTAGGGGTGTTAGAATTGGAACTGTTTGTCTTCTTCAAGCATTTCGTTTGTTGGCTACTTCTAAGGTCTTGAAAAGCTTGTGAGACTACTCACAATTCCAAGCAATTAATGAAGGAACCAACACTTGAAGTTAACGCTAATTTAAATTAGGTATCAGCTTCATCAGATTGTTCTTGTAGTGTTCGTTATAATCATTTATGTAATATTTCCGAATGATTGCTTTATTTTGATTATTCTTACTTAATTTTTTCCTCCTTTTTTTTGACAGTTTAACTGATTGAAATTTGTTCTCTGAATTTCTTCCGCAAATCATTTGTTGTACATTTCTGTTCATTTCGTTAAGTTTTACCTTATGAGTTTGATATACATATATATATATATATATATTTCTTTTCTTCCAGGAGAACAAAACTATGGTTTATCTCATTCTTAAGTTTCAGATTCATGCCGAGCATCAATGTTTGATGTATAATGTTGGCAGGGATCGTTTTATTTTCGTTTTGTTAAAGTTGGGAAAGCATATACATTCCGTTACATTGCTTTAATATGTACAACTGTTTCCTGTTAAATTTGGAAGCATTCGGAATTGTCGCAATGCTTGCTTTTTTCTGAAAAAAAACATTTTAGATTTTCAAAGTTTTTTCTTCGACCATTTTCTGCCGTTTACTTTTTCATTTCACTTTTATTTGGCAAGGTCGTATCATCAATACCTTCGGTAAGCTTTATTATAAAAGTGAGAAATTTCCACTTTTTTCCTTCATGTATTTGATAGAGAAGTACTTGGTTGTAGCCTCATTATTCCATTTCTTGTTGCCTTTCTAGATCAGGTTAGATTTGGATTTCCATATAAAAAAAAGGCTTCAATGAAGAGATGAATGGTTTTTTTGCGAATAGGTAAAACATATTTTGCCATCACTTTAACACATTCAGATTTGATATATTTACTTTTCTTTTTCTTTTTTTTTTTTACTGTTAGTCTATGAAATTTCCACTTTTCGTAACGAATCATTGCATGCAAGAATCGATCATCTTTTCATGATAATTTTTGTTCCTTTATGGACATATTCTATCAAAGAAGGTTTTGTGTTCCACAAATGTCGTACGGTCATATGTTTCGTTCGTGTTCAGAATAAGTTGTTGCAGTGCCATTCAGTTTGTTTAGGAGACGTTTATTAAAAATCTAAATATATTTCATAAATCTGACAAATCAATATGATAACGGTATTTATGAAAAACAGGATAGACAGAGGAAGGGATTCGAAGTACAAAAAATGAGGAATACAATTTAGCTTAATGTAAAGTAGGTAGGCATGTGGTATCGCTAAAATTAATGAATAGGATATTGATATGCACAATTAATAGACGGAATTACAAATAGAAATAGAAAGGTTGTGATGTTACTCTCGTAAAACATTGGTCAAAAGAGGGATAATACAGATGAGCAGATAGGTTGCAAATGTTGCAGGCGCGCTATTTTGTACCTTCTGCAGTAGTGGTAAGATTTTGTTGAGACCTTCGGTAACAAAAATCTTCTTGACAAGATTCTCCCAATTATTCTCTTTCAGGTTAAAATCCATTTTAGAGTTAAACACCTGTAATTTACGACTTAAAAAAAAAAAAGGACGACGATAATAATGACTTTACAGGTGCTTTAACAGTTGTTTCTTTCTTTTTTTTTATTTCCATCAATAGTTTAATTGTCTGTGGTGCAGAATGACTTAGACGATTGGTATCATAAGTCATTTTTCATGAATTATGATAATGAGCAGAATTGTTTTCATTTTTATTTTATTTTTTTTTTTTCAATTTCAATAACAAAAACGTTTGAGAAGTTATTAACTAGAGTGATATAGCATCTAATCCAAACTTCATCGGACTTATTCAAAACAGGGTTTTTTTTTTTCCGCCAAGCTTTTGCCACTGGGTAACTGAAGTAAGCAGTGAGCCAGGATTTTTGAATATTATAAATTTCTTGAAAAAAAAAAGGAAAAAATAATCCTGTAACATTTAAGCGGTATTATGATCATGTAAATTACTGAGCTCTTAAAACAAAAGTTTTATTTCTGAAATGGAAATCTAGAAATGAATTAGGTTATTTTGAAGGAAAAAGTGGAACTACTTCCGCAACAAGTTAGCGGGAAATCCCTTCCTTTTGGCACATATAACTAGCTATATGTTGAACAGTACTGAAATCCTTTGCGAGTTACAGTTTCAAAAAAAAATCCTGAAAATTTTAAATAGTGCAGAAAACCTTAAGTTTATTTTGAAAATTCAAATCCTTTGATTTAAATTGGATATTTTCCTGCAAATTTATATTTGAGAAATGATTTTTTTTTCTTTAGATTTCAGCTAAACGAAATTGCTTCCTGAATATTTATTAGTATCCAAAAAAAAAAAAAAACTATCGATACAAATTGTAGCTAATAAATTCGTTACGGGAAACTTACATTTTTTTGGAAATCATCAATTTGAGAAATTAGATCGCCAACTTTATCCAATGTCCCCTTCTGTGCTTCGTCAGCTAGCGGTTTTAAAAGTGACATTTTATCTTGAATTGTTGCCAATAAATTTTTCACTCGACCCATACTTGTTTCTAATTGCTGAAAGTTTTTGATTACTATTTTAACACGTTTGACTACATCCATGGCAGCAATAATCCTGAACAAAATGTTGTAAAATGAAATGAAATACATAAATCTTCTCACATTTACTTTAAATCCATCTACACTTGATGTTTTTTAATTTTTTATTTCAAATTTTTCATTCCTTTCCAAAAATCACCTTGCATTTTATAATAACACATCATCGATGAATGGATTATTTTAAAAGCTGAACTTCTTTTTACTTGAATAATGAGACGAAAGGCGAAACAAACAAGATAGGAGAAAAAAAAAAAGGAAAACAAGTTAAATAAAAAGAAAAAACAAAAAACTAACTTTTTCATCGTTTGCAAAAAGTGATTTGAAATCGGTAAAATGCTTTGAAAAAAAATCACCAGCTTCTGATAGTAAGTCACAGTATGCGCCTACAGTAAGTAACATCAACAATATACCGTAATTCAACATAATGTCTTCCTTTAAAAAAAAAAAAAATCATTATTCAATGAATATATTTTATTTACATTATCATAATAATGCGATATCTTTGTACCTGAAAATTTTGCTAAAATATATGAATAGAATAGTATATGAATAAAATTCAGGCTTACTTCTTTGTGGTTAAAAAAAAAAAAAAAAGAAATAGATGAATTAATTAATTATCCTGAAATGTGAATAAATTTGAAAAAAAAAAAGCAAAAACTTTTCGAGAATCACAGAACTAAGGGATTATTTTTTGTTTTATCGCAAAAAAGAACTACTATAAGGGAGTTAAAATTTGGAAAATAGTTAAAAAAGTTCTAACAAAATATAACCCCTTCTTTTTTTTTTTTACATT